GGAATTCTGGGTAGTGTAGTTCGATTTCTGTCTCGGGTCCAGGTGGGCTGCTCCTCGTGCCCTTTGAACTCAGCTGGCTTTCCGGGGCTCAGGGTAGGCAGGAAAGGGTTGCTGTTGCCCTGGCATTCCTGGCCTGGCTGGGTGGAAACAGTGCAGGGCTCTGGAGGATCCAAGGCTGGGAAGTTTGGGGGTGGGGAGAGAAGTTCTAGGAAAAAGGTCCCCGTGTTTCTTGCTCTGTGCTGGGCTTCTGGGCGCCCTGACAGGTGGTCAGGCCAGTCGGGCCCCAACTGTGATAAGCACTGTACAAGCTTGATCACTTCATCCACCATCAACCACCCCTGGGTAGGAAACCTATGGTGTGTATTTCACAGAGCAGGACTCCAAAGCTGGGAGATTCCCAAGACCTGCCCAAGGCCTCCCCCAGACGGGTATCCCAGCTGAGACCCGGGAGATCTGTGTACAGAGGTTCAAAGGGGTTTGACCCTGGATGGGGGAGGAGAGGGGGAATCGCTGTTCACCTCGCTAAGCATCTTCAAACCAGTAGCCCCACCCACACCTGGTAACTACCCACCACCACTCGCAAGCCAGAGCATCTTGAGTGCCAGTGAGGGCAGAGAGTGGAGGAGCAGAAGGTTATGGCCACTTTGAGGTGTTTTCTTTGAGGGATGATCAGCCAGCCAAATGATCCATTAGATACCAGCACCAGTTCAGGCCACAGGCAGGAAGTGGCCTGTTGAGGTGGCCACTGCCTCTTGGCCAGCTGCACCCCTGCCCTCGCCCTGCTTACTGCCATGGGCCCTCAGCCTAATGAGGGGTCATCGCTTTCCAGGTCAGCTAGTAAGTAGTTTATTCCTAGCCCTGCTGACTGAGACCAAGGTGGGGTGGCCTCATGGTCTGCTTACAGCCAGAAGATGGGAAGAGCACGGGTCTCCGAAGGACCCCATGTAAATTTCCATTTCCAGAAAGAAGCTTTCCCTGGCCTCTAACCCACAGCGTCCTCTCCCTGCTGTGAACTCACGGCCTCCACAAAGCATTCTGCCCCTCTTTGACGCACTTCAGCCTTCACACAATTATTATGCTAATAACCTTGGGGGTGTCCATCTCATCTGCCCACACCATCACCCCCGGTTCCTGGAACAGAGAAGACCCCCCTTGCTGGGGTGCCCCCTGAGGGCAGGGACACTGTCCTGGCCACAAGGACATGAGCGCCCCGTGCACATGTGCTGAGCTGCACTTGCTCATCTGACGTGACAAGAGCAGAGGCCAGAGCCCTACCTGCTCACTAAGCGGCCAGACCGGAGGTGATTTCCTGGAGTCCTTGATGCCTGTTGGAAGTGAGGTGACACCCTGCAGCCCTGGGCTTGGTTGGCCTGGGTTTGTGATGATGGTGATAAAGCACTCACTATGTGGTCTGCACTGCTGAGTGAGTATTGTCTCCGCTATCCTCCTTGACCCCAGGAGGAGGGCTGGACAGACAGAGAGACCCAGGGGTCACGTGACAGTGGCTTTCCGGAGTCTTGGATGCACACTCAGATCTGGCCAAGTTCAAAGCCCACTTATTTCCTCCTCCAGGCACGCCGCCCGGGGGGCCAGCCCCTCCGAGCCCGGATGGAAGTGACGTTAGAAAGCCCTGTGTCCGGTAAGTCCCACCAGAAGACTGCTTGGGTGCCCACGGGGTGAGCAAAATAGAAAACCCCTGTCCCTCGGCCCCAGAGCTGTCTCCTCTGCTACGTCACCTCCGATGCAGTACTTCGTCTTGGGCTGGTTCAAGGGCCAGTTCTGCAGAGGGAGGGCCCAGGCAGCGTCTTTTTGCCAGGCTCTGAGCTGAGGACGGGACCCCCCGGGGCCAGCCCTGACGGATGGAGGGTCTGAAAGGGCTTGGCCCACGCCAGCATCCCCTGTCCTGGCTCCCCACTGGCCCTCCAAGGTTCCAGCTGCTCCCCCAACTCTCAGACCCTCCAGCCCTCCTGCAGCCCTGCTTCCTGCTCAGCATTTTCTGGAGTCTGTGGGTGTTGGGCACAGACCCACGGCTGTCTCAGCATATGTGAAGGCCCGTGATACAGCCACACGAGAGGGAAGCGCTGGCGTCTGCAGAACCAAGGAAGGGGACATCTGTTTGTGACGTGCCCAACACCACGGGGACACCCGCACGGCCCCCCAAACCTCTCCCCCTCCCTCAGACCTCAGCCTCCTCTGCCTTGATGTCACCAGTGAATGGGAAGGAGCAGGGCTCTGGAGGCTCAGCCGCCAGCCCTCCTCGGGGATGGTGAACCCCCCAGTGTGGCAACTTGGGAGCGCCAAGTGCTGTCGGTGGGAAGACAAGGTCACTCAGTTCCCAGCATGTAGGCCTGGAAAGGCCGTGAAAACCCGAAGTCACACAGCAAACCAGAGGAAGAAACAACCTGACCTCACCCAGCTGGGTTTTAACACGCAACCCCAGTTGAGCCCAGAGTCCTCCCAGGTCAGCAGAAAGAGCCGGATGCAGGGTCTCCTCACTGAGCATCGCTGCAGCCAGGGCCTTTGTATGCATCACCTTTGTGGCTTTCCACAATGACCCCGTGAGCCAGTCCCGTTACCATCCCATTCCACAGGTGAGGATACTGAGGCCTGGTGAAGAGGGAGGTGTGGATGGAACCCGCCCCCTGGCTCTGAGACCTGGAGGCCGGAGGATTTGATATAGCAGGCGCTCTCACCAGCATTCCCTGCAGTTGTAGGGACCAAGATCTCAGGGCCACAGCTGATCCTCCAAGAGCTCTCAGCCTCCAAGGGTGCAGTCATCATGAGACCGGAAAGGCATTTCTCAGGTGGGAAAATCCCTTTGTTCTGCAGATGGAAATGCTACGTGCTGGGATTCTGTTGCCCTGGGAGACAGGGTTATCTCCTTAACTGTTTAGGACCAGGCCGGAAGCCAATGGTGAGGCTTGAAATGTCCGCCTGGGAGACGCGGG